ACTTCACTCTGGTTATCCAAAAGACAATATCTGTCTCTATAGTTGTCAAACGGTTACTGTAAGGCTCTCTTTAGGAACTCTTGATGGTACAAGTATAGACATATACTCTCACACACACACACATTCTCCATAATTAGACTTTTAAACTAAATCCAGCTTAATTTCTCTACACACACACACACACACACACACACACACCACCTAAGAGTTATCTATACATTTTGTTTTGCAACATGTCTATGCGAATGATCTCAATCATGCATTCCCAATTTTTTTATCACACTTTTTTAAAAATTGGAACAGCATCTCTGTGCATCTCTATGAGTTCTGTTGTTGATACATGATGCGGATGTATTCAAAACACATTCAACACATGGATAGTTTTATCTCGGTTTATCTCGGCTCTTTCCACATCAGTTATTCACACAGCCGACAATGCAAATCCTTCACGATCCAATGTTGAAAAAAAAAGTTGGGTATATTCAATTTGCATGTGAACAAGACAGATTCTACACACATTCTACTGGGATTGTTTTGATCATCTAGACAAGCCCTACACAGCCCAAAAACTGGCAATAGGACAAGCAAAGAACAGCTGTGCATTTTAAAGATTCTTGTTGCTAGAAAAGCTATTGCCTCATCAGTCAGATAAACTGCTCCTGCTTGGACAGTGTAGTGCACAGGAGACCAATTTCTGTGTATTATACTTTCTCAGCGCCTTCTATACTATCCAACAGATGCACACACTGTACTGTTAGGCTGTCAGCAAAAAATCAGCAAAAAGCAAATTATGGTGCCTGTTTGCATAGCCTGAGGCTCTGACTTATACCTCTGTGGCAAATGGACTGCTGTTTGGTGGAACGCTTTTAAAAGTTGCTTAAATGCTGCATCTAGAGAGAGAGATTAATTATCTCTCATGTTAACATTGCACCCCTGTCCAGGTTCTTCCATGGTAGGCAGTTACGATCATCACCATTTAGCAACACTGTTGAGCAATAAGGGAGGTCTTCCATCAATATATGGAGAAAGGTTACATTTAAAAATGTAAGCTGACTCCCAGAATCCCCAACCAGCATAGCCAATGGACATGTTGGGTAGGGGATTCTAGGAGCTGTAATCCAAAAAGTAGTTGCACTGGGAAAAGATTTGTTGTTGTTGTTGTTGTGTGCCTTCAAGGGGCTTCTGACTTATGGTGACCCTAAGGAGAGCCCATAATGGGATTTTCTTGGCAAGATTTGTTTGGAGGTTTTTTTGCCATTGCCACCCTCTGAGTCTGAGAGAGTATGACTTGCCCAAAGTCATCAGTGACTTTACATGGCCAACCCATGATGTGTACCTTGGTTTCCAGAGTCATAATACAATGCTCAAACCACTGTGCCACCTTGGCTGTCTATACAAAAATAATTAATCTAAACAACATAACTTTTTAAAGTGAAATGTTTAATGTTAATTTTCAGACTACAACTTCCAGAATCCTCCACCACTGCCAATGGCCATTCTTTATGGAAGAGTCTCAAGGCTATAATCCTCCTCGAAATAACAGTACTGAGGTTACTTTTTCAATTAACCTTTTTTTCGAATTACATTATCAAGCTACAACTCCCAGAACTCCCCAGCATGGTTGATAGTCATTCTTGGTGGGGGATTCTGGGAAGTGCAATCCAAAAGAGTAACTTTCTCTGAGCTCCACTTCAGAGAGAAGAGTGCCCCCGGTTGTTCCATCCGTTCTGTAATTCATCAGGGCCAAATTAAAACGAAAGGGATGTGGCATTTGGGTGGGTGGGGACTGGAGGTTTTTGAGGCCGGTTCCTGCAGCTGGGAGCCAGATGAAGGCAAGGCCTGTCACACTGTCACCCTTTGATTTGCATCCTCCTTAATCTTTAATCTTTAATTAATGGACAGGAAGAGGCAGAAAATGCCACCCACTCCATGCACACCCAACCTCCCGGAACCACCTGCTTTGAAACACAATGGCAGTTTTCTGAACTCACCACCCACAACCAGGACAGTGCCCTCTATCCAAAATGGGACAGAGAAGTGACAAGGATTGTGCCTGGAATTACACTTTCCCAAATCACCAATTTCTAGTCATACGCTGCATCTAAGTCAACCCCTCCTATCAGGCAATGCGAGGAGATTGCTTCAGGTTATTGATACTGGAGATGGAGGTGGCCAGGACCAAGTGTAGTAAGGCAGCCACCTCAACTCAGACAGCAGATCTGAGGTGTCATGACAGGTGAGTACATTATGTAAAGAGATATTGTTCTGAAAAAAAGGAGTTGGCAGTATGAGCTTTCATAGGAGTTAATCACATGGGGAGTCCCATGTAGAAACACTGCTTTAAATTGGAAAAAACCCGCAAAAGCGGAAGCAATTTATCAACGGGATTTCCCCATGTGATAAACTCTAGCGCAGTTAAAAGGAGCTTAATCTAAACGGAAATTAGACAAAAACTGCTTCTTTTTACTTTCGGGATCTTCTGAAAGTAAAAAGAAGCAGTTTTTGTCTAATTTCCGTTCGGATTAACCTCCTTTTAACAGTGACGTTGTCTGAAAAAACACCCGCTTTTGCGGGTTTTGTTTAATTTAAAGCCCCGTTTCCGCACGGGATTTCTCCCGTGTGAGAAACTCCATATACTTAAGTCTTCTTCCTCACATCCATTCTTCCTCAGATCCATTAAGTCTTCTTCCTCAGAAAAGCCAGGGATAGACCTATATATGCCATTGGTGTGTGAGAACGTCAATTCAAATTCAAAATCCTTTGTGTATGGAAATGAAGTGGTAAGTCCAGTTTTAACTATGGCTGTTTGTGAACAAAGACATTGGAAACGAGGATACCACCACAAGGGAGTGCATTATCATATTTTCTTCATAAGAAATTAGGGTTTTTTGGCCTCATGTGCCAGCGTGACTTGGCTAGCTTTGTGTACTATGCCCCTCGACTTGGGTGTCTGGATGACCTGTTTGATGTTCCATCTCAGGCTTTGCAATGTCTTGGCTGGCGGTGGAAGCTTTCTGGCTATTGTCTGTCATTAACTTTCCAGTTGTCACTTTCTGTTGAAGGACAAAGCTATGTAGGTCATACAACCTGTCCTGGGCCCTTTGAAATATCTGATATGGCAAGGGATGGCATGCTGTTTCCAGTGCTGAAGTAAGATTCTCAAATTACTAATCCAGACAGCTTCTGCATATATGTTGGGGAATGGGTGCCATCTTGTCCTTCATCTCAGGTAGCAAAATAGCTTCCACTAGACCAGTGAGTAGGCTGTTCCTTCACTATAAGAGGTAGGATAGTAACAAAAATAATTGTCTCAGGCCTTGACATTCAAGTTATGCCCAGCATACTCCTCTAATTTCCATCTCAGAGTCATTCAGATGTCATTTTTTAGTGGAATGATACGAATAACCTACTCATGCATTCCGGATTTGTTTTTTACACCATGGAACCGCATCTCGGTGCATCTTAGGGAGTTCAGTTACTCACAGGTGCGAGCGCTTGAATAAACATGCGGTAGAGTTGATGATGCAAATGTATTCATAACATGTTCAAAGCATGCAGAGTTTAATCCCAGGTCTATTTGCATTGGTTATTCACACTGCTGACAATGTGAATCTTTAAAAAAAA